CTGCGTGCCAGCCGCCCCGGTGCACCTGGTGCGGGAGGCAGTGGGAGCGAGGCCCCGGCGCCTTCTGACAGGGGCCGAGCGAGCTGTGGGGGGCAAAACCCCACAGTCTGAAGACGCTAAGAAGGGTGGGCTTTGTCTTGATAAGTGTTTCTGGCCTGAACTTCATGAAGTGGGACGGCCACCCACTCCTCGCTGTGAGCAAAGCCCACGTCTAAAGCCAAGAGCGTTAAGATTTGGCCTTCTTTTGCCAACCAAACTTCCCCCAGAATAAAGCTTTTTGAAAGAATTACAAGGTGTATGTGTTTTTTCTGGCTCGAACACTCCTATTAATAGCTCTCAGATGTTGGCACGTGTGACATAAGGTGCCCCAACCCTTGTCCAGAAGAAAAAAGTGACAAGTTTAAACACACACACAGCATGTCATGACATCCTAGCACCACTACCAGCAGCAACAACTGCATCTGTACGCTGCATTAACATGCTAAAATACAGTAGTTATTTTTGTTTTCTTTCTACAAACTACAGCTCTCGGGACTCACCGAGGGACACTTCCAATAACAGCCTGTCACCAGTTTAGGGTCAGAGGCTGTTCTGAGATCCCTCTGATTACAGACAGATGGGGCTGACAACTTGGACTAGGTTGCAGCATTGGTTTTGATTTGTGTCTAAACCAAGGCTAAAGCTCATCAGCTGTTCTTACAAGGGTCTGGCTGCGGCTTAGAAGCAGAAAATGAAGATCTGGGTTGTGCTGTAACACAAAGCCAAACATTTTAGGGAGCATTTGGATGCCAAATACGATTTCATCAGGCTTTAGATTTGAGCTGGTAGCTCCGTACAGAGCATTTTCCACCTTCAAAACACTTCACAGATAATTCAAGCAACGCTACACAAAGGTAACAATTTTTTGCACAAGATACAACCTGTGCCAGTGAGTTCGAAAATTAAACCCTTGCCCAGAGCAGTGTTACCACCTTCCGCTCAGGTTTGCAGCAGAAAGCCGCCTCCAATGCTCCTTCCCCTCCTTTTGTATCTTTTCAGGACCATACGCTCCCCATGCTAAGCCTTCTGTCCACAGCCTCAACGCAGCACTTTTCAGACACAGAGAAAAAACAACTGTAAAAGCTACAAGGTGATGATTCTGCAAGGTGCTCGTTACCTATGCTTAGATAGCAAGCAAGCCCCGTTAGAGGACTCGGATACAAAAACTGCACCAAGGGCCAAACCTTCGTTCACATGAGAAGCTGATAGCCAAACTGTGAAGACACCACCACAGTGGCATTTGGGAAAAACAGAAGAGCACCTGGCTCAGATTAGATTCTTGCTGAAATATAGAGCTGATTTCCAGCTCTTGACTGATTGATCACTTTTTTTTTTTTTTTTCACTTGGATGTGTGATGTGGGATAACAGACTGTGCGGAATGAATTCACTGTCAAGACTTTACGGGCAAAAGGGGAGAAATCCTATTTGTGATAACCACAGGGATTTCTTTCTGATAACAGCATCTGCCTGCATCTCTCCAACCTGTAGAAAAAAAGTGTCCACAAATTACAGTGCAGCCAAGCTCAGGACAGATGCCAAAAGCAACAGTTGACCTTCACTATGAATTAAGGTCTAGGGCAACCTGACACTTTCCCTCTGATGTCCAAAGGGACATGCCATAAGATCAATTCCTTTCATGCAATGCTGCGTAGTGGTACTTATGTACACAGCAACTTTAAAGCACACGCTACTCCTTGAAAGCCTGTATACTCGCAAATGATAGTAAGATCATTTAATCTCACCAGACTGCACGCAGTATTTAAGATGTCCTCAGCAGCCCGTTTGGCACTCTCGTATGTTAATACCAGTGTGCTGGTCAGACGTGGTGCCTACTCCAATTAAGATTGTCTGCTCTTGGTTAACTTCTGCCGCCTTTACAATTTGTTGTGGAACATCAGCCTGAAAAAACAATTAACCAGCCCCTGAAAGATCACGCATTGAGCTTCCATACCCGTCAATGAGACTGAACATCCAGTCATTTATGAATTCATTTATATTGGCAATGCTTTATCAATGCCAGTGGAATTTTCTTAATGGGGTAGTTTCTCATATCCAGGACACTAGAAGGATTACTGAGTGAGCTGCCGAAGAACCAAATCTCTTGCCAAGTTAAAGGTGTATAAAGTTGTCTTCCACACCCCGCTGCTGTGTGGGTGTGCATCAAGGTAACGTATAGAAGATGGAGGTGGAGAAGTTGTTGGAAGTATTACTAGAAGCACTTTTGTGCCTTATATTTAGGGAAGCAGTATGAAAGCCTGGCAAATGTTGAAGCCATAGGGTAGGCTGACCTGATCTGCAGCAAGACATTAGCAACAGAAGTCCAGCAGCTGTGCATCAAGCACTCAGCTTGATGACTAGCACTTACCCAACTACCAAGCAGAGGAAGAATGAAGTGGAGCATGGACAGAAGAACAAGTGTCCAAGAGAGCTTTTTCAAAGACACTGATAAGACACTTGGTTGAGTACAATGTGACAGTCAGGTTTTTAGCTGCAAATTAGCAACACTGAAGCAGAAACACAGAGGAAAACACAGTATTTTGAACAGCAATGCTGTACCCTTGTGTTTGAAAATCTCAAAATGCATGCAGCAATTGCAAATAGGAAGGTAAATTTTGCCTGAAAAGGTGTTTATTTTATGCAAGCATAAAATACCTTTCCCACCATGCTCATTTTACTCTTCTCCATTCCCCCATAAAGATCTTTATGTACCTTGTACCAAAGAAGCCGCACTATCAACCGTGATCCTCATCTCAGACTCCCAGTCTCATGGATATATTGAGCTCAGGTTGAGACCCTTCTGTGAAAATCAAGACCCTAAACTTGTTAAGATAGTCTGTGGTGAGAAGGGAGGAAGAGTCTAAAATACTTGCAGTTGCTCGTGCCACTAGAAAGCCCGTTAGGTTCTGAATTATCTAGAATTTCACAGGGGATGAAGCCCTAGGTGTATATTCTATTGCTGAATTCTACACCATAGGTGATAAAGGCACATCTGACTACACACAAAACTGAATTTTGGTGATGAGGTGGCAGAAATGCTCTAAAGAGTGGGGCTTGCTAATTCTGCTGCAGGGAGGGTAACAGCGGTGATGACAACTGCTGCCTCTGGGATGGCGAGCGTGACAGAGTGACGTCTGGCACAGTACAGTTAAACAACGCATGCAGGAAAGCGTTCAATACACCGCTCGGTACAGTACCCCTATTTTTCCAAAAAACTATACAGTACAGTGTTAAACTCCATTAAAGAACCAATGTCACGAGCAATATATGTAACTGGTAATACAAGTAACATCAACTGAAAAAGCATGTAAACAACAGGAAACCCAGTTCTAATGAAAGGAAGCTTACTTATGGTTTCTCTAATGAAATGAACCTTTCTTGTATGCGTGGGACCTGTTTCTTTTGAACAATAATACTTACCTTTAGTTCATTTGGGGTAGACTGTGCCCAGCAGTCTCAGTGTTTAAAACTTCAGCTGCAGGGCTAAATACAGGTTTCTAATACACTCTTTGTGGCTATAACCATTCCTGAGGGGGAAAAAAACAGAACAAAAACAGCTTCTGGAATATCCCTGGCATTGACTGGACAGGCAGTATTAAGAAAAAAGAGCTGAAAAGATACAAGTGGTAGATATGTTAGGCTTACAGATATTGGTAGATATGGTAGATGATAGAATATAGTAGACATGACAGAAATCACACAGAAAACTTTAAAATTTATCTTCATCGTTACACATAGCTATGAATCGGACATAATCACACCAGTAAAAGATATTGCTTTCAGGGCAATTACTGCCGGGCAACTTTTCTTTGAGGGAGGCATTAAATGAGTAACTTCTTTCAAGTCCGCTTTTTTAATATTAACTTCCTCCTTGTTGTCTTAAAACACATTACAAATGTTAATGAATTAAGTCCCCTATTCAGCAGAATCAGGCAGTACTGTTTGTAACTCTCCCGTTTACATAAGCAGAAATTAAGGAACAGAAAATTATCTTCCCACAAA